GAGGGGGAGGAAAGACGATGAAAGGGGATACAATCGTTAGGATAGAAAAGAAGGAAGTTAGGACGGTGAATCATAGTCTAGTTGGAATGATAATGTCACAAGTTCTAGGCCGGTAAGTAGTCAGTCAGTTATATCGGGCTGCCATCTGTCAGCTGTGGTATCTAAGCTGGCATAAGCTGACATCTAAGCTGACCTGCGGGCTGACATCTAAACTGTCATATGGCAAAAGTTGAGTTGGCGTCGAGACAAGCAGAATTCAGAGTGTCTCCTGGAACTTGAAGCGCCCACTGTCACACGACTGTCATGTCAGCTGTCGGAGCTTCTTCTAAATTATAAATCATTCCCGCAGTTAGACGTCATATAATGGTATCATTTAGGACTGAAACAGGGCCTCGGCTAACATGTTAACTACTGGGGCATACTGGGGTAAATGCCCCAGTAGAGTCAAGGAATGCCCCAGTAGTGGTCAGGCTTTGCCCAACCTCCACAAAATGATAATATATCAATATTAACGTACATTCTTTCATTCGGGAGCGGTTGAAGACGTTTGTGACAAGAAATCAGGGGCGGCGGAAGAGGGAGTTACGGTGTGCAGCTGCACCCTCAATTTCCATAAAAAATATAGGCTGCATTGGCAAACATATCTTTTTGCACCTCCTAATCCATCTTCGTTCGAAAGAGCGTCAAAAATAATGACGAAATTACTTCGGCCACTTCGGCAAATTACTTGGTCAGGTCAAAGGTCAGGTCATGGTGAAGGCCAAATTTCGCCGATTTTCAGGTCGAATATCGACAGTTTACAAGATGCCGACGCATAACTCGGGAACCAATTAGAGCTACAGCACCGCGGAAAAGCGCATTTGATAGCCATATTAGCATGCTTTCTGGTTATTTCTCTTAGATTTGACCTAACGTCAACGGTTTTGCCTGCAAGGGGCAAAAACTACCAAAATAGACGATTTTTTCGGGAACAATTTTTCTGCAATAACTTTTGACTCATGCCTCGCACGAGCTTTCTTTTACCGACATCGTGTTCCTCTCGTCAAGACAACAATTTGACCTTGAAGGTCAACATGAAAATTCGACCTCAGGTTAAGGTCATGATCTGACCGGAAATTGTCATGTTGCATATCAGTCGATCTGAATCGTCGAGCCAAACACAACTAAGGCATTTTCATCGCTCTAGCATGCCTCTTTCAAAGTTATTCGCGAAAAACTGTTAGATACCATTCGTGAACTGATATGACCTCAGGGGCATAAACAAGGGTCACGGGTGCTATTTTCATGTTCAGTGTGTCGAAGTCACGTACAGTGTTTTATAGTGTTTAGGATAACTTTCCTCCAAAAGAGGTGGTTTTGAATTTTCTCCCATTGACTTATAATAGAGGTCGCAAAATTGAGCTGACCTTAGGTCAACGATATGAAAATTCCGAGATATAAATTTTGTACATGCTGTTGCTCTTATCAACCGCTGAAAGTTTCAAAGCGATCGGTCACTTCGTCGGTGTAGCTACGGCATACCTATATTGAAACATTTTATGAGGTGAGGTCACTTGAAGTGACCTGGTGACCTAATCTTGAATGACCTTGGTCTGAAATATTTACAACACATGTAGAATTGATGGATGATGGAGCGCCGCCGTTTTTGAGACATCAGCGAAAAACCTCAGGTGTTCAAACACCCCCCCCCCCCCCCCCAGCATGGCGCCAACACACTTTGACGATTTGCCCCAGTAGTCAAAATTCCTTAGCCGAGGCCCTGGACTGAAATTAGTAACACCGATATATAATAAGGTAAAAGGCCTGGCAGCCTGACGAATCTATTGTCCCTGACTAATGTCATGATTTGTGATAGCACTATCAGCTCAGACAACTTTAATCCCCCTCACGCCCTCCCCCCTCCGGTCGCCCCCCTACGAGACTGCTGACGTCATTATGACGTCACTGTCTGATTGGAGGGCTGGAGATGCCGGTGGCAAAAAGTTTAGAAAATATGTCAAAGGAATTTGTTAATGCTCATGGTCAGAAGATTTCTCTCAAATGACTAAGTGGCCTACCGATAGAATTATGCACTGATAAGTTCTCTTTTATTTCATATCTCCGTCTTTTACCATATCGGATGCATCCCTTTGGTAGAATAAAGCAGCCATTCCGTTTCCATTTAGACCGTGATATCGTCGCACCGACGGGCTGCGCTCCCTCCACATCTCTGTCTTTCTCCTCCCCTCTCTCTCACATCTCTCCAGACTCCGCAATCGATGTTAGTCTCATCCTCTCCCCTCCCCTCCCATCCTCTCCCCTCATCCCCAGCAAGGCGTGGGTTTTCTGCAAAGTTCAGTCGGCTGTCTCACACTCGAATGCGACGCCCCCACTCTACAAACTCGGCGTTCAGAGTCAAAACGAGATCTCTTGACTGCTTCGAGTTTGCGTCATCCGGGACGAATGCGTGTTCAATTCTAATTCCAAACAGGGCTCAGTGCAGCCTTCTAGCGTCCCACAGTTTCCAGCTCAATTTCACCGATACACAGTTGCGTTCCTTTCAATCTGACTACTCCAGTTCACTGGTGTTGGCTAGCGTCTCCGGGACTCCTTCGGGACAGCTGCGATAAAAAACTCTCCAGATGTCACCGCCTCACTCCCTTCAGCTGGGGAGCCGGGAGGGGCACACGGGCCGGCCTGCAGCCCGCACCACGTGTATAGGCGGGAGGGGCGCACGGGTCGGCCTGCAGCCCGCGCCACGTGCCACGTGTAGGCACGTGGCCAGCTCGCTGGCTGGGTCGGGATCGATACAGGATTCAGCCGACGGGGCGTCAGCTGACGGGCTGCCAGATCCGCCGCTGAGCGCTGCCATATCCAGAACTTGAGTGTGGGCGAAGGGAAACTATCAGAGTAAGGGATGAATGAGGAAGGTGGTTTGCAAGCAAACCTCTTATCTGGAGTGGGCGTCTGGGGCTGGGTGTGCCCTCAAATATGATGTAAGCAGGCGATATACGTACCTTATCTTACTTGAATCTTTATACAATATTTCATTGGGGGAGGGGAGGTAAATGGGCAGGGGCGCGGGAACTACTTTCTGACTGGGGGGGCACACCATGATAGAGATCAACCTAGGGTACCCCCAAATCTAGTTTTCTCACCGGTTTTAGGCCACTTATTTTTCACCCCTCGGCTTTTTCAACAAAAAAAGAAAACATTTGCAAAACAAGTGTGGTATTCCGTCTCAAAGCTGTGGGGGCACCGCCCCCACGGCCCCAGAGTTGGGGGGGGGGGGGCAAGCTGCCCCCACTGCCCCCCCGGCTCCCGCGCCTATGTAAATGGGGTAGCGCTTTCATTTACTGTCGTATTTTTCTGTAATAGTTGATTCTGAGTAATAACTGTTTTGCTTTGCATAGTCCCTCACATCGCACAATGCAGCCCCAGTTGACCTATTTGTAAGTTTTGCTCTCGATGTTGCCTTTTTACTTCAATAGTAATGATCGTTTTCATCACATGATTATCCGTTTCTCAGTGCGACTTTTCAACGCCCTGCTCAGTGCCTTTTGTCTTTAATAAAACGCGTCTCATTGTCCAAATATCTCGACTTCTTGTCTCCCCACTACAGGGTGTCCCATAAGTTCGTTCTCACCTTATATTTGCATGTAAAACAGAGTACATTGCGTTTTGATATGTTTATAATCCCTCAATGTGCTCCCCATTTCATAGGCAAACACATGAATACATGCTGCGACATGCCAACCGGCATGTTTGGCAGCATAGCAGGCTTGAAGTTAGCCCAGACTGACTTGGCATGGTCCGTGAGCTCCTCAATGCTGGAACACCGCTTCGCTTCGACGAGCCTCGATTTCAATATTCCCAACACATTTTTATGAAATTTGGATCCGATGAGTTGCCTGGGATGTGATCTTGCCACAGACGCCTATCACAGTCTCCTGGCACTGCTTCTAAGCTTTGCTTGACCTGTGCACTGATGCACTGTCTTGCTTGAAGATGGGCCTACGACCTCCCGGATTCCATTTTCTCCTAAAAAAAATGTGGTCATACTTGCGGTTCGAGCTAAGCTAGAAAGCTGAAACTCCTCCTAGATCTTCTTGGAGAAGCATTCTGCGTCCCAAGACTGTTTCTGGAGTATCAATCGCAACGTGATCAGTGTCTGGACGCATATTACCCCACATTACCGTGACCCTGGCCTTTTGCATAGGAATAAAGCGGGATGACACAAAGGCCTTTTCCGTCGCCCATATGGGACCGTTTTGGGGTTTGGACGGGTGTTTTATCTCGAGCACGGACTAGGTAGTCCAGATGACCACATTGATGTCATCGGCCCTCCAGTTTTTTTAGCCTCAGGCATAACGAAACACATGTTTGGCCATTTTAAGACGTTTTTGACTGTTTTGAGCCCTCCGGTAAGTAGAGCTTAAGTCACCTTGAGTTAGGTACCCTGAAATAATGCTCTTAGACAGCTGGTAATGCATCCTGAAAAGCATGTTTACCAACTTTCTAACGCTGAGACCTTTTTGACGGCCATTTTGGCGCCACACAGTTTTGGCCACATGGCTCACTCGTGAAAGCTGACAAAAAAAAAGAGCATAAACTTGCAGCGATTGACTCCCGACAAATCATCGGCGTCACTTGTTGACTGTGCGTCCAGTTAGCGACAGACATTGGCTACATACTGGATGGCCTCAATCACCCTCAACCGTTGTGAATGGCCCAGTGCGGACTAAATACCGAGACGTTCCCGTATCGGAGACCTCTATGTTGCGGCGTAAGCCGTCTCCACAGGAAGTGAACTCTCTGGCAAAAAATATTTTGTCTAGACGAATTAGTTACCGTGGAGCACATTCACAGTTGCCCTGGCAACCCCAAAAGCTCAGTTACAAAATAAATTAAGCGTGGCTTTAAATAAGAGAGCCTCTAAAAGAAAAATTTAGGTGAGAAGGAACTTATGGGACACCCTGTAACTCAGGATGCCCACTAACTCGGTTTCCCCTGTTCCGCAGATGAGTCTGCGGGTAACCATGTCGGTCGGCGTGGTGGCAATGGTGAACCACTCTGCCATCCCGCACGTCAGCACCTCGCACGTCACCATCTGTCTGAACGCCAGCGGCGACCTCCCGCCGCCCTCCGCCGAAGGAAACAGCACCGAGACGGCACCTTCTTCAGCAGGCGCACGCGTGGAGGATGGCGAGTACGCCTGGGATGAGTTCACCCAGGGGCTGATCCTCTCCTCGTTCTACTGGGGCTACACGGTGACGCAGATTCCCGGAGGGTACTTCACGGAGCGCTATGGAACGAAGATCGTTCTGGGAGTCAGCCAGGGCAGCAACGCAATCCTGAGCCTGCTGATCCCGGCTGCCGCCTCGCTCGGAGCGCCGTGGGTGATGGTGGTGCGGGTCCTGCAAGGCCTGGCCTGCGGGGTTATCTATCCGTGTCTGTATCCCACTCTGGGTCGCTGGTTCCCCACCAATGAGCGTCAGATGGCGCTCGGCTGCATCAACGGCTTCACGGCGTTCGGCATCGTCACCACGTCCGCTTGCTCGGGTCTGGTAGCTGCCAGCTCCGGGTGGCGAGCGATCTTCTACATCACCGGAGGCGTGGGCGTGGCGTGGCTGCTGGCCTGGATCGCCCTGATGCACGACACGCCTGCTGACCACCCCCGCATCACCGAGCGAGAGAGACGTCTGATCGCCTCTGGCAACGCCACCAAGAGACGCACAGAGCGCCGACCTCCGTACCTGCAGATGCTTCGCTCGCCACCGGTCTGGGCTATTGTCATCACAGAGTGTGCCAACAGCTGGGGGCTGACCTACCTCCTCACATCGCTCCCCACCTACATGAAGCACATCCTCGGCTACAACATCCGCGCTAACGGTCTGCTCAGCGGCCTGCCACTTCTGGGGAGAGGGATTGCCTTCTGCGGCGCAGGTCTGGCCGGCGACCTGTTGCTGCGCCGCGGATGGGTCACCACAGAACAGATCCGCCGTACGGCTGCCACTCTGGTGACCGGTGGCTGCGCGCTGCTGCTGTTGCTGGTCACCTTCGTGGGCTGCCAGCCGGCCGTCACCACCTTCTTCTTCTTCATGGCTGGCTTCTTCAACGGCTTCATCGGCACGGGACACCTGGTGAACAGCCTGGACATCGCGCCCAACTACTCGGGAAGCGTGTACGGCATCGCCAACTTCCTGGCCAACGCGGTGGCCGTGCTCAACCCGATCGTGACAGGTCAGGCAAAGGTCACAAGGGGAGGGGGGGGGCTGCGGAGTCAGGAAGTTTAGGTCTCGCTATTACCACATTTTACTGGTTGGTAGATGGTTTGAATATCAAAAGATGTTGGGTTCAAATGTTGGTACAGGCCACAAGTCGTTGTAATTGATAAGCACGACTCGAGGCGTCTTTTATAGAAGTCAGCCACATTCAATGCGTCCTTTTTAGAAGGCGGCCAGAGTGCATTTTATCTCGTTCCTTGGTGTTGAAATATTCGTGGCAGTAGCATATAGCAAACACTAAAAAAAAGATTGGCAATTGAAATGATATTACCAGATGCGTCGCATAGGTTCCTTCATCCTTGCACTTGTACGCTCCAAATTATGTATCGATCCCTCACTCAATCCATCTTTCTCTTTCATTTCGGTGAAGATCACCTTTTCAAAGCCCGATTATCTAAACAGTTATAACAAAATCATAAAGATCGCCCATCACTTCTCCTCCACCGAGAATCGAACCCTCAACCTCCACTCACTGTCCCTCTCCGCCCGCAGGCGCCATCATCCGCGGTCACCAGACCATGGAGCGGTGGAGCTACGTGTTCTACCTGGGCTGCGGCATCTTCTGCACGGCGCTGGTCTCCTACCAGGTGATGATGTCGGTTGATCGCCAGCACTGGGACAAACAGGAGGATATCTACGACGCGCCAGACGACGTCGACGAGAAGAAGGGCGTCTCCAACTCGATCGATGTCTGCATGGAGGAGACGGCAGAGAGCAACGGCGTCTCCAAGAAGGCCGACCGGTAGCAGACCGAAGGGAGGGTGGTAGGGAGAGGGAGGATGAGGGATGGAGGGAGGGAGGGGAGAACCGAGGCGGAGCAGCGGCTGAAGGCATCGCCTGCTGGCACAGAGGAATGACAGAACTATTGAGGACGTCTATGGGAAACTTCGATCAAGAACTTTTGATGGGCATTGGACACGGAAATCGAGCTACTGTCCAAGGACCGTTTACCAGTGGTGACATTCAACGAGAACATCAATTGATGATCTCGAGTAGTCACTGACTTCTTCAATCGCTTCATCGGAGCGGGCCACTTGCTCAACTCTTAGCAGAGATTGGTGACATAAAAATAGAGACTCGGACTGGTGGCCCCTTACCGGTGCTCTACTGATTGGTGACGTTGGCCGGTGGCTGCTGACGCTGGAAAATCCACTGGTGAACTAATGCCATTTGCCATTGGTGACAGACATTAGATGGTGGTGACCAAACCGGGAAAAGGTAGTTACAGTTATAGCCAGCAGTTTGAAAGGGTCAGGGCGATCACGAGCCATGCCCATGTTTAGCGGGGTGGACGCTTGACGGTGGACGGTGGATGGTGGACGGTGGACGGTGGACGGTCGGCAATGAAAGGCGGCATATGTGGAGCAGTGGACAGTCACTGAAACAGTCCACGGACAGTGAACAGCGATGGAGCTACGCTGTCTGCGACTGTCGCGACATCTAGTCCGGAGCTCGACGTCCATGTGAAGTCCGCCACCAGAGGGCATCAAACCACAGTGGAGGACGTCAGCGACCCGACAGACTGGCCCAGTCGTCAGCAAGAGTTATGCTCCTTCACTACAGCAGGCTAAATAGAAGTGTACCAAATAGGCCGGGTGGTAACATCAGAACAATCACACAGCACACGTTACCGAAAATAATGCTAGAAAACCTAAGTACCACGACTCTAATCCAGAGGGCGAGCACCCAATAAAACCGTGCGTTAGTTTTTAATCGTTACACTATCAGTAGAATCGTAAATCGTGCATCAAACTTCTTCACACATTATTATGCATTTTGTAGCACATTTTAGGGCTGGGATGTGTGACGGTGCTTGTGTAGGGGATGACTGCATTTGGCTTTATTAACCATCGTAGCAATTTGAACGAGCAGTGAAAATATGCTTGGCATTGTGTGGATAGGCTCACTAGTGGCAGTGGTTAATTCCATTATACTTGCTCTGCGTAGGGCTTGAGAACCCCTAGCGTAGTGCGGTGCATTTGAAAACCCTGACTCGTCACCAATGGGAGATAACTGATTCTGTCTGAGATGAGAGCCACAGCCACCGATGACCTCCCGCCGGGAGAGTTGTGGACCTCTGGGATGACGTCATGGTCACGTGAACGGATGTGCGTGGTGAATCCGCCGGGAGAATGTATATCAAGCTTTGCGATACATAACTGAACAGTGACGATAAGTGGACACATTCGGGATCATAGGTAGCCCGTTCTGTCTGTTACGGAGATGAATATCAGGCCATGCCGGGTTGAATATGATGCAGCGATGTCGGCAGATATCTGCGCCAGAACGCTACATATTATGACGTCATATAAGGGTGAGGGCGGGGACTACTAGGCGCTGAATTCGGTGCCATCTGTGCCTGTTTTATGTAGCTGAAAGTGTCATCTTGAATACCTCTGCGGTGTTTTAATCAGCATAGCCGGGCGAAGAAGGGAACAGATGAGTACGGGGTACTGTTGAGGGATCGTGCGTTGGGCGCGACTGCGTTTGACTGCATCTAGGAATGGCTGACACGTTTGCTAGCTGTTCTCTCTCCCATAGTGCATTTCAGCCGGCTGCCAGCCTGCCACTATGCCGCTCTGTACCGCGATGGATCGGGTGGTGTCTGACGTCTTTATGTCTGTGTGTCTGTATGTGTGTCTGTGTGAGTACCGGTATTTGCTCAGCTCCCGCCACTCCGTGAGTGCCACCAGTATGACGTCACTGACTGACGTCATACCCGATCGGGTCGGGCTGTGTCCGTGCGTGAACCCGCTAATATCCGCTAGGATCGCATTGTGCGATCGGGTAGAGGGTTAGATCGCTCATAGAGCCAGCCGCCACCGGAAACTCGCAGTTCCGGGCTCACTTCCGGTGTACTTCCGGTCCGTTTCCGGCTGACTTTGAAGCTTTTCTTGAGAAGAGCTGAAGAATCATTCGGGCACTCAAAATTATATCAAGGCACTTGCTAAGATATTGATCAAATTGATCACTAACTACTTTCGAAATGTATGGTTTCCAAGTATTATCGTTCAATCCTTGAACGTTTGAAATACTTGGCTTTCGTGGGTCTTCATAATCAAATTGAGAATCAATGGAGGACATGCTTTAAGCTGTTCATATGACACTCATCCGTATTGCTTTTATGCTGTCAATCAATTATGTCACATCCCTTACCTATTCAGTGCAATGCAAATCTATCGTCCACTGGAACTAGCGATAGAGGTCTATATTTTGTCTTTTATGATTGAAATATTAACTTTTTCTCTTGATGGCTTCCTTCGGTATTCCTACGCATAATTAACGCAACCCCAAAATGACTATTTGGCTCAAATCCGTCCTGCCTTTGCGCATGATCTAGGTGACCGACACGAAGTTGGTGACTGGTCGGCTGATTAGCCTTTAGGTCTAGCTGCATTTTACAATCCTCTTCTCTCCTTCAATATTTGATTAGTGTTAACTCTACAGAGTCCTCGT